CCGGCTTGTGCAAAACCGAGGGCTCCGGAGAGGAAGTTATTCTAACTTTTTTGGAAACTCTATCCCGGCTGGGTTGCTAAATAGCTGTCAGGAGCAAGGGCGGCGCGCTGATTGGCCACCATGGCCAGGGGCAGGACGAGTTCTGGGGCCTTCGCCGGCCGCCCCCGCCCCCCGGGGCCAGACTTTCAGTTTTGTCTCCTCTTTTCGGCCCTGACTGTGGCCGGCATCACCCATGCGGGGTCCGTGCGCTCCGCCTGCGCCTGTATCCCAACCGCCCGCCGCTAAGCAGCCGCCCTGACCCGTAGGCCCAGCGAGGCCTGGCTTTGTCTGAGCCTCATCGGGGAGATCTGGCCCTATCGGGTGCAGGGAGCAGGCGAGTCCATCCCAGATGTGCTCCGTGGAGTGGGGACGCAGCCGGGAATGTCTTGGGGCGCTCACTGAGCCCTAGCCACCCGCCGCGTTCCCGCCCTCAGTGAGTGGAACGTGCATGTGCATGCTGGGTGCCTGGACCCCGGGCAGGGCAGACACTGGTGTGCGCCCAGGGATGTCCATCCCCTCGGACTCGCCTCTAAGATGCGTGGAGACGCCGCCCTGCTCAGGCCAGCCTGTCAACTGGGGACCTCTTTTCAGTGGGGTTTTCCAGGGAACCCCGGCCCGACACCTTACCAGAGGCTTCACCCTAAATGCGTTGTGACTGGGATACCACAGCGAGCCTCTGCGGGAGCGCCCGGTGCCCGCCGCACCCGCCCACCTCGCCCTGCGGTGGGTGCTGGGCCGCAAGTTTGGGCGCCCAGCTGACCTGCGTGGCTCTGCTTCAGCGTCTGAGCTCCGAGAACAGCAGGAGGTTGACCCGGCCCAGCCTCTCCTGTGCTGTGCTAGTTGCGGAGCGATGGGCCAGGCCTCGGTGGGCGACTTCGCAGAACCAGGCCCGTCGCCATCTGGACGCCGAGAGCCAGTGCGTTTGAAGTACTTCGGGTCTTTGTTCGCCTGGCCGCTCTGGCTGAGGCCTGGAGGTGGTTTACAGCTTCCGTGCCTTTGAACCTATTCCCAGGTGACCCAGGCTCAACCAGGCGGGGCTGGAGCGGGGCTGTCAGGCGTGCCCCTGATCAAGGGCTGGCTGGGCCTTCCTATAGAAGTTGAGCCTGGGTCCGGGACAGCTCAGCCTCAGCAGCTCCTGGGGGCATCTGGTGGGCCACGAAGTGGGGCCTGCAGGCCGAGACCACCGCCTTAGGGAGCTGGGATGACTGAGTACCAGCACTTCTCCACCCTTTCTGAAGGCCTGGCTTTGATGGTCTTGGGGACTTTCCACCGTCCATCACCAGAGGTGTGCTCTGTGGATACCAGGCCCACCAGCAGGAGACTATCACAGTGCTGTTTGTAGTTCCTCGAGTAAGTCATTCAGTCCCAGTGCCCCGCCCAACTCAGCCTAACCACCCTCCTCCCTCCCTTCTGGGACCGACACATTTAATCCAGCATCCCAAAGCTGCTTTCCTCCTTTTCTTTAAAAACTCTGAAACATTCCAAGAAACAAAGAGAGCATCTGGGTCTCCACCCTCCTGCCTGCCCTTAGTGGCTTTTCCGGGGTGATTCCAGGTGGAGAGGTGGCTCCTCCCAACATGCCTTGCTGCCTCCTGGGGGTCAGAAGGAGCCCGCTAGAATTGCTGCTTCTTCATCACCCTGTATCACTCAGGATAGGGACCTTTGGGACCTGGACCGTTTTGGACTCTGGCTTGTATGACCCAGGTGACACTGACCCCTCTTCAAGCCCTCAGGCCATTTACCATCTGGAGTCTGCCAGTGCCCAGTCCAGCCAGTCAGGCCTTCCCTGTGTCTGAGTGTTTCTGAGTCTCACTGACTTCTCCTCCTCTCCTCCACCAGGCAGAGAAGCACACTTGGTAGGTCTCAAGCTCAGTACAGGCTAAAGATGGGGGTGGGTTGCATGGAACCTGGACCTCCCAGTCAGGATGGGGAGGTGGGCATTGGAGATTTCACCTGAGGCCCCAGTGGACCAATGCTTATGAGCATGTTTGTGGTCTGGACACACCTTCAGTGCATTTGTTCGAATTTAAAACACTTTAATAAGTTAAAATAATACTTTGACGGTCCTACTAGGCCCCCAAGCCAACCCTTGCTGGTGGAATTTGGACCACCTTTATCAGTATCTACCTCAGCTGAAACTCATAAATACAAAAATAAGGCCCAGACACAAGCAGGAGTCTCTCCAGCGTCTCCAACAGGACTCGGGGCAGCTCTCAGCCCTCACATTTTCATTGGCTGAAACGAAACTCCAATGAGAAAGTAATCACTTGAGGAAATGATACTCGGGTTATTGATATAGTCTGAAATTTTTCTCTTAAAAACCAAATCATTAATAAGGCTAATAAAACCGAAGTATTAATAACATGAGGGACAGAATGTGTTTGTGTGTGGATATCCACCGGACCACCCAGACACTCTCAGACGTGTGTGAAATATCGCTCAATAAGGCTTCGTGGGCACACACGCAGTTCTTGGTATATTTATTCATTACTGAGTGTGGAAAGTCACGTCAACACTTCTTTTCATGTGTATAAAAATGTGTACTTTGTCTCACAGGATTTCGTTTTATAAAAAAAAACAAAATGACCTTCAGTTCTGAAAGAGTCTTCTCCTGCCTGCTGTCCTCCAAGCCACAGGTAGAGAGGAGTGCTTTCACAGTAGGGTTAGCCTTGCCTTGCTGGCTACAATGTGACACTGCTTCATTGTCACCTGGGGATGATCTTCAGCGTTAGGATGCAGTTGAAGCTTTATTGGGTTAGTAAAATGTGTGCTTGACATGCCTGAAACATGCTTTATGACCCCCCCTGGGGGCTAAACACAGCAGTAAAGGCACACACTTAAATGCTACTACAGCTACCGTCCGTCAAACGCAAGCACAGGTTAGCCCACCTATGCTTCCCACAGAACTTGTCTACCAGTGAGAAACAGGTCAGAGATTTAATAGGCCCGTGTGTGTGTGTGTGTGTGTGTGTGTGTGTGTGTGTGTGTGTGCGCTCTGTGGGGATTGGTGGCTTATTATGTCCCCTTGAGTGAGTCAAGCTAGGACACTAGACAAGCTTGTGGCCTTTCTGTACAAACTGTGGGGAGCCTTTGATACCGCTTTGCTGACTGTAGAGTTGTTTTGGGACCATATGCTATCGGCTTATTAGCAATTATCTGGGCCTCTGTCAGTGCCCTTCCTAGGTGAATTTGGGTCACCCAGAACCTTCCCTTTGTGGCTGAGCAGTTGGCAGGCTGGGGAGCTGAAAAGGGATTCATTTACTCCCAGTCCTAAAATCCCAGGGGTTTTAGACAGTCCCATAACAAACAATTTATTCCCAGTGATGAGTCTCACAACTCCTGTAAGTCAAGTTCACAAGCCAGTGGAGTAGAGCCGTGCTTCCAGGGGACTGGAACTCATGTCCAGGGCACATGATGTGGATGGGAAAGAATCCTCTTTTAAAACTCATCCAGGCAAGTGTGCAGCCTCGGAAGGTTCTAGCACTGGGCTTCTGCTGTTATCACCATACAGGGCTTAATGGCCAGTGTGGGGGTAAATGCAGCCCCCCCCCCGTTCAATCCTTCCTTCTTTTCTTCTTGAAGCAGATGGGATGCTCACCCTGGCTTTTCTCAGCCTCTACAGCCTTGGTCTGTGAGATGCACTTCAGACCCTCTGTTCCTTCTTGGAATCCCACAGTGGCTATGGTGGGCTGCTGGGTTTCTGGGAGACAGTGTGTAGACACTGGATGTCCTGAGACAGGGTCCCCTTTCCTGGGGAGGGAAGCAGCAACCACACAGGACTTAGGAGCCCCTCAGTCCCAGTGGGTCTGGAATCATGGCTTTCCTGGTACCAAGAGGCATAGCCTGTACTTTAAAGACCAGAGGCCGGTCCTGAGAGTGAGTCCATCTCAGCCTCAAACAAGATGTTTCCTGCTTAACTAGCCAGTGTGGGCTCTGTTCTCCAATGGATACTTGGTGGGAACATACACACTCCTGGACCATAGTCTGCAAAGTGGGTTCTCCCCTTGCCCCGTGGTGCATTGACTTCCTGACCTCACTAACACAGATTTGAGCACACCTACAACCACTTTTAAGATCTGATCGCAGTGATTCTTGAAACAAGCTTTTGTTCTTGTTTTTGTTTTTGTTTTTAGTTGGAAATACATGTCAATTTCAGGGCTGGAGCTGCCCTGGAGTTCAGCAGCAGAGCACTCGCCTAGTGTACAAGGCCCTGGGTTTGATCTTCAGCACTAGAAAAAAAATCAGGGGAATTTGGGTAAATAAATCATATTGAACCAAATTTCAGCTTAAAAAAAATATACTAACAACAGAAAGCTCAAACCAGGCACAAAGGAACAGGAAAAAGACCAGAGTGTGGGGGTTGGGACAGGCTCTGGCTCCTGGAATAAAGCTCATATTTTTCTTTCATATGGAGTTATGGAAACATTTTATATAGTTACAAAAAGCAAAGTCAGATTACAAAAATAAAGATCCTGGGGCTGGAGAGATGGCTCATCAGCTAAGAACACTGGTTGTTCTTGCAGAAGACCTGGGTTCAAATCCCAGCACCCATATGACAGCTATCAACTGTCCGTAACTCCAGTTCCAGGGGATCCGATGGCCCATTCTGACCTCTGTGGTCATTGCATGACATGAGTGCACTTACCTACA